TTGGAAACTCCACATGACACTTCTACTCTGTACTTTGGGTTGCTATGAGTCAGAATGAACTCGATGGCAGTGGGACTGGTTTTTGTGGTGGAAGGTGTTCTATAACTGTCAAAAGGAACTGAGATTAGCCAAGAAAATTAAACAAAATATCTGAATTATAGTCAAAATCTCAAAATTTTCATCTAAACAGAAAATAAAAACAGTCCATCTTTTGGATGTTTATAAAATTATTGGGCAAAAATATTTTTTACTTTGCTTTAAACACACATTTAAAAAGATATTCCTGTGGCTTCCAACCAGAAAACAGACAGCCCTACAAGGTGAGCAATTACATCAGGAAGTCACCCTCCTTAGGACAATCAACCATGGGCAGCATTTGCACAGGGAGATAGCTCAGAGGACAGGAATGCATGGGAAAGAAGGACACAGGGAAAGGGTAATCACAGGGAGAAGTGGGCAGAGGGCTGTTACATTGTGGGAACTGCAATCGATGTCATGAAACATAATGTACATGAACTGTTGAGTGGAAAACAAATTTGCTTTGTAAACTTTCACCCAAATCACATTTAAAAAAAAAAAAAAAAAGATTAAAAAAACACTCACGTCATAATATACACCCTGCCCAGGCCATGTTAAAGCTTTCTTCTTTGAATCCGAGGGAAAATCAACCAGTTCGTATCTATAAGGATTACCTGAAAAGTTCAGGGGAAGTATTATTATGCTGAATAAATAAGAACAGGCTGCTAATTAATGAGCTTTATAGATAAAATAAATAGAAGCAAGCTAACGTCAGGTAGAGAGGACTGCTAGTGCACATTATCAATGTACAGCAGTAGTTTGTAAGTTGCAACCTGCCCTAGAATTCTTAGGCCCTTCATCAGTAGAGTGTGGGCCACACACGGTCTCTGACCCTAGTGCTCCAGCAGTACTGTTAGTGTCTTTTTAGCTGCTATTGAGTCAGTTCTGACTCGTGGTGACTCCGTGTGCAGAGGGGAACTACTCTACAGCGCTCTCAAGGCTGGATCTTCCAGAAAGAGCTCACCAGGCCTTACTGCTGAGGCAACTCTGGGCGAGTCTGAACCACCAATTTTTCAGTCAGTAGTCCAGCATTTAACCATCTGCATCACCCAGTGGAACTAGGGGACATCGTTACTTCACTTTTTTTTGTTAACGATGGGGATATCCTTATGGAAATAACTCTCCATGGATCCTTTTTCTGGTCTCTGAAGGCTCAGCAAATACATTTCTATACTCCCTGTTTTGGCTTTTTCCCACCTTAATAGCGATAGTTTTCTAAAATGGAGTTTGTGCTTTTATATATATATATATATATACATATATATATATATATATATATATATATATATAGAGAGAGAGAGAGGTAAATTGAAGCAATCTCGGTCTAGAACCTATACTCTTAACCTATTAAAAAAACCCAAACCTACTACTATCAAGTTGATTGTAACTCATAATGATCCTATAGGACAGAGTAGAACTGTTTCCAAGGTGGTAAATCTTTATGGAAGCATCATTCATAAAGCTTCATCTTTCTCCCATAGAGTGGCTGGTGGGCTCTAACCACTGACCTTTTGATTAGAAGCCAAATGCTTTCACCACTGTGCCACCAGAGCTCCTTTCTGAACCTATATGCTACTTAATTTCTAATAAAGAAGACTTAAAATAAGTGGAAGAGTAGGAAACCTAACACAGACTTGTTCTTGGGTTATTAAAATGTACTCATCCTTTTCAAATGTAAGAGTGACTACTGATCAGAGAGTGGTAGATGCTTGGAAGCAGGTAACTTTTTTCTTTAGTCCATTCTCTACAACTGCACTGAAAAAAGTTTTTTTTTTTTTAAAATAAATCCAACACACATTTCTTTGATTTCTTGCTAACTGTATGTACTTCATATAATTTCAGGAATTACCCAATTCAGGGACTGGAAAAGACAGTGAACATAATAAGCTACAAAATTTT